TAAGTGTTTGATATTCAAATTTCGCTTTCTGGGTCAAAACTACTCGAATTTCCTCACTCACGTTGTTACGACTGAATCGACTTTTCAATTCTCTATTTTTATTTTATTATATAGTATTTTTTCTACAGAACCCGCCTCCCTCCTGACTTTAAAGCTGGATCCGCCTATGCCCTGTATATGCGACTTTGTTTTCGTACTTTTTTACTACTATTTTAAATGTTTTGTTCAAATATTTTAACAAGTCTATTAAATCAACAATCGTGTGCTTATGTAAAATTAGTATGGCCTTGGGCCAACAGAAGACAGGTATGTATTTTCTTAGTGTGGTCGGTTGATCACATTTAGAACCAAGTTTGATGATATTGAATGGTGATCCACCATGCAGATAAACCAACTATCCATAGTGTTTTTACACTCTATTCCAAAGCGGAAATATCCTCGCCTATATTCATCGGTTATTCATTCATCTCAGGAAAACCGATGCATATATTAGTGTTGTTTCAAGCCATTATGCAAGTTTAATAGTTCTCATTTTCTAAAAACATTCTAAGTGTAGTTTTGTGAATAGCACGTAGATTGAGAAAACATAAAAGGCCTTTTTATCTGGTTCCCATGAAGAAGATGTTCTACTTTTACGGAGAAGTGGGTATGTGTGGAATGAATCGTAGGTGTTCATTATGTATATTTATTATTGTTTTCAAAATACCTAGACGATTATATAGAATTGTGCTACGCCTTCAGATGTTGTTGTGGATAGTGAAACTATCAGGCGCATTTTGCGGTTTATTAAAGTTAATTCAGGATCAATATCACTATAGTGGATGATTGTTGACTGTTSTCGYCTGTAASGTTCAGTCCGAGGTACACTTTTGCATTAAAAACGACGTGAAATGAAGGTAAATGCTTTTCACGGAGATTACAGCAACTGGATTCTTTTTGAATACATGACGAAATTGTGGGACAAAAACCATTGAATGCAAACAATAAACAGCAACTTTATGCGCTAAAAACTGCATTAGGAAAAACCAACTATGTACCTGCTTTGTTGTTTCGCATGAATATTAATCATTGTACCCGTAGCTGAACCGCGAATTATTTTTTTAGAAAACTAGACATTTTTCTTGTAAATAGGATCCATTCGGACAACTGACTAACTTAATTTTAGAACATTTCTAAATGTCAGGAACCTGCAGTTGTGGGTTAAAGCTTGGCTTGGGAAGTTAAAGGCCGTATTTTCCATRGATTTTCTAACGCCCATAGTTTTATTGGAGACACCGGTAATTAGACGAGTGAAAAAAGTCAAAAGAAAAAGATGGTCTAGAGCCCAGACGAGATTAATTTGGCTGTTCGCAACCTGGAAACTCTCAGCAATTTCCTATTAAAGTGTGGTTTTCCTCATTTAAAGCCGCTAATTTTTTCTTTCGGGTGATGTAATGGGCCGCATTCAGGAATTTTTTGTTTTTCCTTGCCCAGTTTTTGAAAAATCCGTGTTTTCCAACGACCGATCGCTTCGATTTAGTATCTGAAAAAATCGTGAACACTCCCAGTTGTTTCGTATTAAGTTGCGGTTTTCCTCATTTAAAGCCGCAGATTTTCTCTATGGGGTGATATTCTGGGCAGGCTTGAGAGATTTTCGGTTTTTCCTTGACAATTTTTTCAAATTCTCGTCTACGGAGAAAATAAAATAGCTAAGTAACATCCACAAACACTTGAAAGCGCCATATATCTTGAGCCGGTGCTTAAATGAGGTCTTGGATGCAGCTGCTTCCGCACCGCATCCTGCTAACGCGATCGCAATGTTAATTATTCTTTCAGTCAGGTATTCCTGCATTGTTTCTTCGCATGTTAAAAATTTAGTTGACACGCACAATTCTTTGAAGGCCCCCATTTACTGAATAAATGTTTAAGATTATCTCATTGCCAGTCAAGGTGCAAGTCTCTATTATGGGTAGTTTATGTTAATAGTGACCGCTTAGGGTGTTGATTTTAAATGGTTCTCTTAAATTTTTAAACATGTTTCCAACCATCAGTGTCACATAGAGTAAGCCTGAACCGCTCTTAAAAATAAAGCTGAACTGCTCTTTTAATATTTATGCCAATCTTATTTTTCGATAAATGTTGGACAACGAAGGATTTCCGTTTCCTTAACGAGTCATGAATATTGCTAAGCTCGCCTCATTTCACCTCCTTATAATGTGTCAATCACATTGTTTCCAGAAGTGATTATTCAAGAACAGAATCTTCTCCCTTGCCATGTGTGCGGCCGAACTTTTCTGCCCAATCCCCTCAAAAAACACGAGAAAATCTGCGAGAAGCAAGCCACAAAACGACGTAAACCGTTCGATTCGTTGAAGCAACGGGTAGGTAATTTGGAGGTAATGGTTGTTAGCTCCAATCGAGGAGCTCATAATAACGTTCTTTATCTGTTATCGTTTTAGGTGGCCGGCACCGATTTGGCCGATTTTCATCGGAAAACTTACCTCAGAAGGAGAGAAGAGCCCGTTTTGGACCGAAAACCCAGGCAGAGCAAGTGGAAGGAAAAACATTTGGAACTGGTCACTGCTATTCGAGCAGCTAAAGGTGAGTTTTCCCACAAAAAACCCCAATTTGCGTTCGGGATCAGAGTACCTCTTTTGTAGACAAAGCGACATTGTAAGGAGAAAAGAGATTGATTGTTATTAGTTCAACTCTGCCATTTTTTAGACAAAGAATACCTTGGTCGGCTTGCGCTTGCATTCAAATTGCGCGCAAAATCGTTTTTGTAAAAATTGAAACATCGAATGAGCAATCTTGTCCCATTTCAGACAATTGACGCTTGGACTACAGGCGGTAAAGATGGGTGGAAGGTAGTTTCGATACGCTGCAGCCTCACGTAGTGGACTCTTACACATGGGTGTCAGACAGAGGTCAATGTTTATTTCCATTTAATCGCATCAGTTTAGTAAGCGCGTCCAAAGCATTTGAGAAATTTGTGTGTGGCCTTCACCAGTCTTAGTCGGATAGCACGGGAGACCACTTCGCCCTTGATAATGTCTACCGCAGTTGTAGAAGAAACGTCAGGAGGAAATTCCCATGGACCACGGCTTCAAAGCCCGAAAAACATTTCTAAATGTTCCCTAGTAATTTTAAAAATAATTCTTCTTCTATTGCCAAATGCAGTTATCTGTTGATTGAAGCTAGAAAGGGAGATTGAAATTATTGAAATGTATGACTGTTGCCAAATATTTCCAAATATTTTAGTGAGGATGAATTTTTCGCTACTCTTTGCCAGATTTCCACGAAAATATTCAGTTTCTTACGAAGAAAATCGAGAGGTTCGCTGAACAGTTGCGCGGCCCTTTATGCAATAATCTAGCTGTTAGTAACAGTGTGGTAGCGGCGGCTCTGGTGTGAAATATGAACACAATTTTTAAATTACTTTGCCTGCAGTAACTGAACCCAACTAACTGCTTATGGATCTTTAGGGGTGCATCCAGAGGGATTTTCTACATCTCCCACTTTGAAACCGAAAAGCACCACTTCTTTGATAACCTCCAGTAGTCAGAATGAACGTTGTCCTTCCTGCGAGAGACATTTTGGCCCGAAGGCGTTCGACCGACATGTGGAATGGTGCAAGGAAAAAAAATCGCGAATTCATCAAGCCCCCATCAACATTCAACAGGCTAAGGAGCGGTTGGAAGCTCGAACTAAGTATCGGTAAGAAAAAGGCTAATTTTACTTCTGTAGTTGTGATATTTGTCGCTAAATAGTACATSTCGTCTTTGTCTATGCAGTACATTACGGTAGAAGAGGCGGAAGTGGAAGTTCACCCGCCTCATATTGGGTTGTGGCAGTCGTGGCCGAGCGGTTAAGGCGTCTGACTAGAAATCAGATTCCCTCTGGGAGCGTAGGTTCGAATCCTACCGACTGCGATTTTTTTTTTCATAAGAACATCGTGGAAATTTTACAATTGTTGAAACGTTTGATCATAAAATAATAGTGAGGCACAACCCAATGGCGCCCATTTTGAATCACCCTGTATAATACATGGGTAGTCGGTTTTAATGGAATTCAACTACCGATGGGGCCCGGCGACTTGAATTCGCAAATTGGATGTCGGTAATAATTTTCAACTAGTAGGCCGTTTTATTTTTTTACAGTGTTCCTCCCTTGTTCAAGTCGAAGAGGAGTTTGGTCAAAGAAAAGTACTCGGGTCCGCAGAGCCCTGAGCCAGTGTTGTCAAAAAGCACCCAATCGACTACTACTTTAGCAAGTTCGCTGTCGAGAGGCCCCAGCATTAAGAAACCCAAAAGTCTTGTGGATGTCGGTAGGTGCTCACTGTAGCAGTTTCGTAATTTACCTTTGAAGGGAATGTGGCAAAATGCACAAAAATAGAAAACAAACATTAATTCTTGTTGGCAACGCATAAACTTAAAAAAAAATTGACAAATTTGAGCCGTTTTTTCTGATTTTTTCCCAGAAAAACTCAAGGAGGAAGGCAAGGGAAGACTCGTAAAAGTCGAAACTGAAAGAAGCATTGCCGATCGCTCGAAGCGCGCTTCGGAGAATAATCGCAGCCCTTCGCGCTCGTTTGGAACTCCTGTTATTAGAAGCTCTTTAACCAAAGCTGAGTCCTTTAAAAGGTCAGTACCTACGTATCATATAGAGCACCTGCATATTGCTATTTACTATTTCATGCTTTGCTTTGGTGTTTGGACCACTGAGGGTTTCAATCTTGTCTTTGAATAAATGCGGCAAAACTACTTGAGCTTCCGAATCAACACTGATTGAATATAATTCGCCCTCAGTGTTGCCTCCGAAGGGCTCTGATAAGTCACTAAACACAACGACTGTAGGGAGAACGGAAAAGGGTTTTATATTTAGACCAGCGATAATTTTTTCCTTTCTCCTTACATCTGGTCAATTCCCATTGTTCTGGAGAACATATTCTCAAACCCTTTTCCTTTCTTCTCGGCAGTGCGCAAAACAAACGAAACCCGATTCCCTCCAAAAAACTGAACTCCATCCATGTAAATGATCAAATCCATGCAATCACTGTTTCGGCCATGAACCAAATTCACGTCAACAAGCGCATGGTGACTTGGAAGGATACAATCAAAGTGAACGAGCAACGTGACAAGAAAAATGTCTGTAAACTATCAGGTGAATGTAAAATTGCTGCTTCGTCGGAACACAGTCAAGGTACGCAAATGGACGAAGAGAAAGAAAGCAAAGAGGCACTAATTTCGGCCAGGAGTTATCCCTTAATGCAAAGCAAGCCGAGTTTTGGGAAGTATGCGGCAAGTCTGGCAGTAAAAGGCTTGGACTCAAAAATCAACGTGCTTAAAACTCCTGTCCGAATTGCACATGTCTTGAACCAATTCAAGAAATCAGCAAGTGAACCCCTGCTAGAATCTGACTATTTACCTCCTCACGTGTCACACGCTGTTGATCAGCCAGCGGAAGTCGAGTACCATCAAATCAACAATTCCTTATTTAACACCCAGTTGAAAAGGGTATCTGAGCTTGACGACTCGATGGAGGAGAGTCCCATTGAAAAGACTAATGAGTGTGCTTCTCATGATGAAGCCAATATGAACCAGTCGTTTGAAGCAAGCCTTGAATCAAGTGATTGCGGTTGCTCAGCTAGCGACGGTCTGGATCTGGATCGAGAGCAGGCGAATTTAGATCAGCTCAGCTCTCATAAAAGTGCGGGCTGCGAAGAAGCCGCTTTGAACAGTTCTGACCACTCAAATTGTACAAATAATGTTGTTTGTCTGTTCCACTCAGGAACACACTTGGACCTTACCAGAGATACTAATTTGAATACTCAGTCGTGCAACTTTCTAAAGGCTTGCAAAGCGGCGCCGGACTCAGTTGAACCAGATCTACCAGAAGTTAACCTGCAGATCAATAGCCAGAAAGAGGATTTAATAATACCGCTTTTTCTGCCGCAAAAGTTTGTTTACGAGTCCGAAAGTAAGGACTTTCGTAAAACTTGCCAGGATATAAGAAGCATATCTTCCACGCCGGTGCTCCAAAGTTCGGACTTCAGTCCAACGTCAGAGGTAGCAGAAACCCCAAGTCGCCCTTTCACCTTTACTTTGGACAAAAGCAGTCATACTAAAAAGGAAGTGGACTGGACAACGATTGCCAGCAAAGAAAGACTGACTATTTTGCGTGTGGCCGCCGAAAATTTTATTGCAAACACGAAAGTCCACGCCATCAAAAATTGCGTTTTAGATGAGGATTATTCGGTGCCCAAGAAGAAACGTCGGGTCTGTTTGGACGACAGTTTGATGTCTCTGACCGAACCGCAACCAGTTACCGAATTACCTGAAGCCAGAAGTACTGAGCACGCTCGAATACCTTCGAGCTCAGCCAATTCGATTATATCAGATGTTTCACCAAGAACACTGAATTTGGTCGAGAAAATCGTTCAGATGAAAAAGCTTCGCACTGAAGAAAGCAATGTGCTGTTGGGAATCAGCATTTCAGAGTGCGACCGCTTACTAGACCTGGATAAACATTTCGTGGCGAAAGTGGAAAAGAGCTTGTCTAAGAAGGGAAACGTAAAGTTGCCCCTGATTGTTGCCGACTGCAACAGATTCCCAAAAATCAACTGGAAGACGCACGGAAATAATTGCAAAGATGTAAAGGTGTCACTGCCCAAAATTGTAGAGCGAACGTCGGGCAGTCGAATGAAAAACGCGCGGAAAAGTACCGATACTGTTGCAAGAGGGGCTGCTGGTCAAGAAAGGTAATACTCTTAGGACAACTGTACTTATTTATACTTTTCCATGGGTTTCTGATAGGTATTTAATTTTCTTTTCCGTTTGAACCATTGAACATCTTTGTTACAACGGCCCTACTCGATCTAACCGACATTAATGCTGCCTTTTGAAATCGTAGGCATTATTGAAATACTCGGTACAATAAAAATTTAGCTTAACGGGTTTCTTAATTTAGTCAGAGGCGTAGGTTGAAAAAGTTTGCACAAGGTGAAAATGTCTTAAGCGGTAATGTCATGGTGCCTAACAGAAGAAAAGAACAATTAGTACATTCGAAACAGTAGATTGTGTGCATAGGTGTGGTGATTTTGGTTAAATATAAGTGGTCGGAGAGACATGGACACTGAACGGTATAACAGTTAGGCTTACTAAAATAGTTAGTGTGGACAGTACAGTGTGTTTCTCGCACTTATTTATACATATTTCGTTCTCATGGACACAAATTAATTACATTTATACAACACTTCGACGCTAGATTTTCTCAATAAGCGCCAATAATTCTGCATAATTTCAGTACCACATCAAGTTATGACCCATTCGAAATGGCTCAGCGCCAGTTCATGGAGCTGCTCGAATGCGATGACTTCAAACATTTCAGCGCAATGGATGAAATCCCACGACCCCACACAACCCTTCCCACGTCTGTTCAACTACCTACTTCCCCTATTGTCAAAAAAACCATCAAGTCAGCCGATACGATACAGAAAAAAAATTCGCGAGCATCTGTAATTGAGCCTCCGGTTAGCTTTAAGGATTCTCTGGAATCGGTGACTGACAATGACGAGTTTGAATTGATTGAGAACATGATTAACGAAAATTTCGGTGAGGTTGAAGCAAATGCGAATACCGGGTTTTATTTGCACAATATTCAAAGTAATACAGATCCGCTGACGTTGGTGGATAATCGCAAGTATAGCGACGATTTGACCTCATCCATAGACCCCAGTCTGATTAATGACAACGATAATTTGTCGATTCCCGAGCACTTCACACAAGACGATTACTCTCCAAGCAGTACTGCAGACACCGATATTACATTACAGGATAATGAGGGCCAAAAAGCCGCAAAGATTAAACCAAACACTACCAAAAAACCCTCAATTAAACGCTCCTTATCTCTAGTCAACCGCGCCAATCGTGATATTAGTTTGTCGGGTGTTAAGAAAATCCTCAATACAGGCCCTAAAACCACCAAAAATCCTATTTCCAGCGAAAAGTCCTTTGTCTTAGACCCCAAAACCTCCAAGCAGAATAAGAAAAAAGGATTGCCTCTTTTGAAAAGTTCCATCACGCTGTTTGGTTCCTCTCCCAAGCCCTCGTTTAAGACCAAGAAAGACGTCAATGATTTTTTCAATTGCAAGGACCAGAAGTCTGTTACATCCAGTATGACCACCAGTTTGACTACAAGTGAAGTAAGTTTGGAACTTAAACGATTTTGTGTATTAATTATTATTTAATTTAATGTGTTCCGTCGTTACAGGAATCTCCTATGAAAGATGCCCTCAAAGCCGAAGACTTGTTTGCAGTCGATGATGAAATGTATGAAGAATATAAGAAATACGAGGAAATGTACTTGAAGGAGAAGGAGCAAAGTTCGAATAGCAACAAGAAGACTAAAGTAAAAAACATCGACCTCAATTATGGACTGCTTACTAATAGCGAGGAAGAAGATCATTCCCACAACAAATTGTCAAATGATTCAGCTTATGGCAGGTAACAGGAAACATTTTCTTACTGTTCGTTTCATTCAAGTTGATGATCTGCAATAGACCCTAAACTCTTCATTCCCTATACATTTTAGTCTTCGCAAAACTTCGAAACACCGTAGCAGAGCCCCCAAACTCACACCTCTAGAGCCAAAGAACGTAGACACGTCCAGTTCAAGTGGTTCTGAGAATGGGATTCTTTCTCCTGCACCTCAAGGGGGCAGCAAGACATCGAAGTTCTGCCACGAGTGCGGGACAAAATTCCCGGTATCAACTGCAAAATTTTGCGTGGAATGCGGTGTTAAAAGGCTGGTTCTGTGATACTACTAAGGTTTTTTGTGCATGCTAAAATCACTAGAAGTCCTGAGGTTTGGTGAAACAATTGCACATTGATGATAATACAGCAACTGTATAATTTTACTGTTTTTACGTTTTCAATGATTTACTAACTTTTACTAAACATTTTTTTAGAAACACTAAATCTCTTTACGAAATGGCAAATGTTAAAATTTGTAAATTTCGTCTATACTTTTAATATATCTGAAATATACCTTTTTACCAAAGTTTACATACTACTTATGAGTTATAAGTGCATAGAGGTGCAATTTTAGACTAATGCGATATGTTATGTGACAAGGATATTTAAAATTGTGAAAAAAAATGTCCATTCGTATACATACAGGTACTCATCGATTTAATTGCCAGTTTGATATATTTAAGTTGTTTTTTGTTCTGAATGAAGGATGTTCGTTCTAATAACCATTCCATTTTTATTTATTAATCAAGACTGTTTATTTTATTAACCGTAGTTCTTTTAACTTTTAAAATGCTACACAAAGCTAAAACTTAGAAGTCGATTAAAAACCGATTTTCCTACTAGTTTTTTTTAATATTCCGTTGTTTTTTGTTTTTGTTGAGTGTTAAATCTCTTGCTGTTTCAACTGTGGTAAAATTATCAATTCAAAACTCATTTATGTGTATATTGGGGAAAATGTATATAATATATTAATATCACTGCTGACTAAAAATGTATAGAATAAGTCATCACAATCTTACATATGTTGGTAGGACAGTCTTTCTGCAGATACAGACAAATTAGTAGAAGCTGCTAGTCCTTTAACAGCCTGTCCGACATTTGACCTAAAAAGTAGATTTAAGCGATATTCAATTTTTGTGTTGTATGTTTTTCAGAATCGGAATTTTATGAAAGTTTTGAGGATATATAAGGATGATGACAATAAGGACGAACTTACTGAGACTGAATGTTTCTGTCCATCACCTTCTTTAAGTTATGCACCGAGAAGCGATTATACATGCCCCAAATGCTGTTCATGTATTTGCTGTTATAATGAGACGCCTCTAGCTTTCCATCATTTGAGTATTGACGCTCACGTTTTTCCATGTTGCTTCTAACTTTCTTCGCAGCAAAAGCTCCTTGCTGTATCGACATATTTTCGTTGTTTTTGCAACAAGCTAATGATAAGTTATAGTTGTCGTCATTTGTCCTTTACTCAGTGTGTAACTTACCTTTACAAAATGTAAACGCGGCTACCTCCAATTTAACGCCTAGCAATATCTCAGCTGCAAACCTTTTTCCAACTTTCATCTAAGTTTCTCTTAAGCCCTGTGCTTAAATATTTACGTAAATAGGCTGCCAATTCGCATAGACTGTGCGCTAAACACTGTGAACTTGCTGTAAAATAGGTCCGGGGATCAAGAAGTTATCGGAAAAAATAAACACATTTATCGCCAACTTCTGGTGGGAAAATTTGATGATGTGCCGTGATGAACGTCTTCATGTACTAATTTTAACAGAGCGATATCAGTAAATGTATTAAAAATAAATGAGAATTCGTCGTAATGGTTAACATTAGAAAGTGTACAGTGTCTATACCAAATTTGTTTAAAGCAGGCTAACAGTTACAACAACTCATTTTCTATAGTTTTAAAGTCACATTTTCATTGAAAAGTTATACAAACTTATAACATGAAAAATGTGTAATCTTAACAAATCGTAAAGGGCATATTTAAAAGTACTTACATAAATTCTGGTTGTTTGGGCGAATGCACCTACATGCAAATTCCAAATGATTAAAGCTGCTGATGCTTTCTGAGGGTTTTTAGTGTCTTTTATTGCATATTTGTATGCAACTTATGCCTGTGATTAGCCATTTGCCCAAGTTGCCTTGAAAACGGGAAATTGCACAATTTTTTTTGTAGAAAATTTTTATAAACATTTTCTAAAAATCGAGTAATTTGAATGCGCCAACATGCAAACCGTGTTTAAGCCCCCTAAGTAACGCCCAGCTTCAATAACAGGTCCTCCCATAGAACAAGGCTTATTATATATATATTATATATATTATATATATATATACAGCTCCTTTAAGTATCACAAATTCCACATTTACATTGTCTCTCTCCTTTTCTTTATTCATTGGTCTCTCTCTTTCTCTCTTTTGTGGCGGCAACACTGCATTTTCGCAGAGCCAAGATCTTATGTGATTCTAACCACAGATATCTGTGATTCTAACCTATATGATTTCATTTAAACACACTTGCGAAATTTGGTGAAAATTCAAAGATATGGAGAGTCCGACGCTTAAAAACATTACAAATCCGGATTTTGGAAAACCACCAGAAAAGCAAAATGAGGTAATTAACACTACATTACCATTCAATACTTATGTTGATGTCTGTTAGTTACGTTTCTATCTTATAACTAAAGCACAATTTGTGAACCGTAGTTTATCAAGAAGTTGGGCCTACCACATGTGACCAGCTTCAACTACATGGTAGACAAAGGACTAAACGAAGCCATTCAAAATTTAGTCCCAGTCGAATTTTTAGTTAACGATCGGCAAGTAAAATTGATTATAACGGGATTTTCTTTAGCCCAACCGCAAGTGCCTTATGGTACCATCGGGGTGAGGAACAATCTAATATTTCCCACTGAATGTCGCCAAAGGAAGTCCACATACAGTGGCAAGTTTCTTGTCAATGTTGAATGGTACGTTGACGGTCAGATTCAACAGCCTTTCACCAAGGACCTGGGAAACATTCCTATCATGATCAGAGTAAAGAGGATAATAATGTTTATACTGCGAGGAAAACTAATGAAAAACATTTTAGTCTAACCGTTGCAATTTGGCCGGGCTGAACCCGGAAAATTTAGTGAAGCACAGCGAACACGAACAGGAGTCTGGAGGCTATTTTGTGGTCAGTGGCCTGGAGAAACTCATCCGAATGCTGTTGATGACAAGAAGGAATTATCCAATTGCGATAAAGCGATCAGGCTGGAAAGCCAGAGGAGCTCTCTTTTCCGACATGGGTATTTCAATTAGATGCGTCACATCAGACCAAACTGCAACGGTACGTTTTGTTGATTTTAACTAACATACCAAGGCTGTGTTTCAATCCTCTGTTGTTGTTTCACAGACAAACGTTTTACATTTTGTCACTGACGGTTCCTCAAAACTCATGTTCAGCTACCAGAAGATGTTGTACTACGTACCACTGTGTCTTGTACTTAAGTCCTTGTGTGACTACACGGACCAGTATATCTATCAGAAGCTCATTGAAGGCTGTGAGGAAGATCTATATTATCTGGAGTAAGTTTAACGATGCCGCTGTTTTTCAGCTAGATTACCGGTTTTTTGTTCTAGTTCATGCCAAAATATGTTACGGGCGATTCACCTTGAAAACTTGCACACCCATGACGATTGCAAGGCCTTTTTGGGCAAAATGTTTAGAGTCAAACTATACGAGTGTCCTCCATGGTTTTCCGACATCGAAGTGGCCGATTTTATGCTCAAAAAGTGCATTTTAATCCACTTGAACACCAATGAGGACAGGTTTAACATGCTGATTTTTATGACCAAGAAGTTATTCAGCTTTGCACAGGACAAGTGCAAGGTGGAAGGGGCTGATTCCGTAATGATGCAAGAGGTCCTTCAAGGTACCAATCATTCGTCGTTTACCAATAGTACTGATTAAAATTCTACTTGTTATTATTTGCAGGGGGCCATTTGTACTTGCAAATAATTAAAGAAAAAATGCAAAATTGGCTCAACAACATGCGCCTGGCCGTCATGCAATTGGCTCGCGGCAATAAGTTCAATTTCAATCAGGCTGATATATTGCGAGCGGCCAAGTCTTCGGGTGGTATCGAACACTCATTGAAATTGTTCCTTGCTACGGGAAACATGTTTAGTACTACAGGCTTAGGCCTGATGCAGGATAAAGGCCTGTGCATTGTAGCGGAGAACATCAATCGCATCAGATACATGTCTCATTTCAGGGCTGTGCACCGGTAAGCAGAAAGAACCACTTCACATGCCACGGGGCTCTGAAAATCATGTTTTTAGAGGCGCGTTCTTTCAAGAGATGCGTACTACGGAAGTGAGACAGCTATTGCCGGATGCGTGGGGTTTTATCTGCCCAGTCCACACTCCTGATGGCACGCCCTGCGGTCTTTTAAATCACTTGACCCTGGATTGTGTCCTAACTGATGTAGCTGACGGCGAAAAAGTGAAAAACATTCCAGTAGTTTTGAAGGAAATTGGCATGGTTGCGTTGAACTACATCAACAGGCTGGATTTGATTAATTGTTACGTTGTTCAACTGGATGGAAGAATCATTGGTGCGTAATCACCAGATGGAAAAGTTTAAATTTAAGATAATCACTCACCTGTTGCTTTTCTTACAGGTTACATTCCTAAAGAAATGGCATCGAGGATTGTAGATCAACTTCGGCTTTTGAAGATAGAAGGTAAACAAATACCTAACACCCTCGAGATAGTTCTTGTTCCTTTGAAGAAAACCAAGGCGCAATTTCCGGGCATTTTCCTGTTCAGCGGACCAGCGAGAATGATGAGGCCAGTAACAAATCTGTTCGCCAATAAAATCGAACTGATCGGCACTTTTGAGCAGGTTTACTTGGATATTTGCGTGAGCCCGGAGGAGGCTTATAAGGGTAAGTCTAGTTTAGTGAAGCCATAGTCTGTAATATGTTAGAGGACAGAGATCCACGCGCAGGAAAGCCAGCACATTATTTTAATTAGAGTTCAATATACTAGTATTTGGCCAAAACGTACAGGTTAATGCTAAATTAATTAATCAATTAAACACACTTTTAGAATTGCCCAACTAGTAAGAGTTAAGCTCTCAATTTCGCAAAGCTAATGAATCTATAAGCCAACATAAACTGAAAACTACATTTAGGAATGTGTTCTAGCACAACAGTTAACAGTGGTAATATTTTTTTAACGCCTCACAATTTGCCCCATGAAACCTTACTATTTATCACCAGCTCCTTTTCGAAATAAACTTTCTACTTCCTTGTAGACTTCCTCTGCAGGCCTAGTCGCATCTATAGTCTTAACCAAGTTCTGCTTCGCATAGTGCTCTATAATTGGTTTGGTTTCAGTTGAGTAGGTGTTGAATCTCTTCTTCAAACTCTCAATGTTGTCGTCGACTCTTCCGCTAGTTGCGCCTCTTTTCAGTATTCTGGCCGTGCAGATTTCCAGCGGACAGTCAAAGAACAAGACGAACTGCAAATTCACTTTATCAGCCATCACTTTGTTCCATCCATCCAAGTTGTTTTGATTGCGTGGAAAGCCATCAACTAGGAAGTTCTTCTTGCCTGACTCTTCAATTGCCCGCTCCAGTAAGCTGCATGTTATTTCCACTGGCACGATTTTGCCTTCTTTTATGTATGTTTCTATGAGTTCCCCGTACTGAGAGCCAGGCTTGTTCCGTTCTTCTCGTAACAAGTCTCCAGCAGATAGATGTACGTACCCAAAATGTTCAACGATTTTTTGGCACTGCGTGCCTTTGCCTGCTCCCGGCCCACCCAACACGAAAACCACGTTTGGTGTCATTTTAAATGCCTGCCTAACTGCTGTAGTAAACATAGAAATACCCGTGAACATTTAGGTTTGTTTTGGTCACCCTTGGAATATTCAATTACAAGGTGACATAACCAATTTTTTTCATGCAGCTCCGATCATTTGTCGTGGCACTTTGAATCAGTGCCGTCCACGTTGCCTCTGAGTGATAAATGTTTCAATTACTCACTGATAATTATCTTTATGGGTAATTATTTATTTGACTTGTATTTTTCGATGTATAATAATTATGCATTAGATGTGTCATTTGACATTGATGACTGCTAAGCACTAGCGCATATTTCCTAACTGACTCCTTGCTTAAATGACATGCGCAAGTCAGTTTGAGGTTCCATTAATCAAAACATACTTCTAATCAGAGATGCCAGGTCTACCGATTTTTCAGTAGATCTGCCGATTTGTCAAGGAATCTACCGAAAGTAACAAATAAAATTTAAAAAATTATCCGTGGGTTACTTAAAATAATATAACATATTTCCATTCATGATCAAAGTACGTTGGTAATAGCAGACATTTCATTTTATTTTTTTAATTTCAAGCCCGCCATTAGATCATAAATATGATAAAATTATGTTTTATGGATCCTGCGATAGTGAAATCAGGTTTCCTACAATCTATTTCTGATGTTGCAATGATATTTCCAAATTTAATAACTAATCTAATATAGTGGTGATACATTCATGTTTCCGATTTTAACCAATTTTATTTGTAACCTGCTTATTCTACCTCACTCATCAGCCAATGTTGAACGGATATTTTCACAGGTTAATCTAATGAAAACTAAGTTGAGAAATAAGCTAAAAACGAGCACAATTTCATCTTTACTTCTTTACTGACTCATGCTTATTTTAGTATATCTGTAAGTTTAAAAATTCAAGTTTTCAAAAACGCGCGATTTTATGGAACCTTTTTTTTTGGTGAGGTTTTGGACTACCCAACCAGCTCTGGCCCTTAATAATGAATGAAAAATGAGTCTACCGATTTTCTACCGAAAAGTGTCGAGCTTATCTACCGAAACTCGATTTTCGGACCTGGCAACCCTGGTATTAGATATTAGGACTCAGAATCAAACTCGAACAATTCGAGTATTCGAATATTCAAAAAGCGAATAATTATGTCTAGTCATAACTTGAAAATTCGAATACTGGTTTACACCAACATTATCAAACTCACAAGGTGCAAATATCCTTATATGCACTTTGTATACTTTTATAAAATAAGTTATTCACATTCTACAAGTATTTAAGCAAATAGTTATATATTTACAAGCAAATGAAAATAATTATTTACCCTCTAGCAAATGAATATAAAATTACGTCTCTGTGTTCTGGTGATTCGCGTCATCAATTTTTGTGTGTGCCGACAAAAGCACTTTTTTGCGGCTTATTTAGAGATTGATTCCGAGCCCTAATGCATACCCGTTTTGGCAAATAGAAGTTTGTTTTGATTAACGTAACCTCAAACTGACTTGCGTATGTCATTTAAGCAAGGAGTCAGTTACGATATATGCGCTAGTCTGGGACTCTGATGAGCCCTGGATGCCAGATGTATCGCAGCATTTGATGTATGTTTAGGTTCAGGGTTAAGGGAAATTGGAAAACATCCAATTCTGGCTCGGTTTTTTAAGCTGTCTCGTTTGCACAAAAACTTTGCAAAGCATCCAAAATGTCTCAATCGAATACATCGACTGAGCCACTTCTGGCTTAAGACCTTTTTGCTGGAACTAGCAAGTAAGGGAATCATGAGCATTCTGGCAGCGCTGTGAAATTTACCATAAAACAGGGTTGTACTAAGATTTATTTTGAAAATGTTCATAAGGTATATTATTATCAACTAAATATTGAAAAGCTGAAGCGCAATTCTCCTAATTTCCTGCTTCTAATTCAGACAGCAAAAGTAAAGTAAGTAAGTAAAGGTAACTTATTTCCCATTACAGGCGTTACAACCCACATTGAACTATCGAAGACGAGTTTCCTTTCAAACTTAGCTCAACTCATCCCCATGCCCGATTGTAATCAGTCCCCTCGAAACATGTATCAGTGCCAAATGGGCAAGCAAACTATGGGCACCCCTTGCCACAATTGGGATTTGCAGTCCGAAACGAAACTATACAGGTATTTATCACATGCCTACTTGTTCCGAACGTATGTTGAATCGTTGGTTTTTAGGCTGCAAACTCCCAGCACGCCGCTATTCCGGCCGGTTCATCATGATGAGTTAGACTTGGACGATTTTGCGATGGGCACCAATGCCATCGTTGCTGTTATCAGCTATACGGTGAGCGAACAAAGGAGGGCAAAGGTGAGCACCGACCAAAAGGATTTAGCTAATGTGCGAACAATTTTCAGGGATACGATATGGAAGATGCCATGATTATCAACAAAGCATCAGAGGAGCGAGGTCTTGCCCATGGTTCGATTTACAAATCAGAGTTTGTAGAGCTGGAGCACGAGGGCTCATATTTTGCCAGGAATCCTAATAGTGCCGCCTTGGCCGAAACACTAGGTATAAAAGACAATTTTTATTCGAATGAATCAAAAAGTGCCATTTTGCGAACAGAAGCGATGATCAAAAAGAGGCACTTTTCTTTAGCGTTCATTTGTTTTACTTTTACGCACGGACTTTGCCGCACAGTGTGCGACAAAGTAAATGTGACACTTTGAACTTGCCACTGTCATTATATATTTTTTAGTATTTTTATTTACAAATAACCGAAATGCTTTTTTAAGGAATTACGTAGGTTTATCAACAACTATTAATCCTATTTTCAAGTTTACTTACAATTTGTAAATTATACCTTTGTTACAAGTTCAGTCTCATAATCGTTTTAGTGGCCTACTTATCTACTTTTGCGATGTTGTCACACGTAAAACACGATCTTTTTAAGAAGCCCAAATGTCATGCAGAGTATGCAACATGCATACACCATCCCAAGACCACAGGTGTTTCAAGTTCAAGTCAAAATTTTAAATATGAAATCGATGCATTTTATTATTCGTGTAATCTTTTATTCGAATAAAAAATAGTGTTGGATACGAGGGTGAAAAACGACATTTTTCGCACTTGTATCGAAAACTACTATTTTGCTCTTGCCTTCACTTGTCAATGCAACTGTTACAGATACCGATGGTCTGCCCTACATCGGACGCAGAATGGCCGAAGGAGAGCCCTTATACTGTTACTTCGATAGCGACAGGTCGGACTACAAGATAGTAGTTTTCTCCGGCAAAGAGGAATGCTACTTGCATAGCGTGAAAATATGTGGTGATTTTTCAGCGAGGGCCAAAAAGACTATTTGTTTGACGTTTCGAGTGTCAGTAAGTAGTTTTATTGCAATTGTCGCTTTTCTAATATGAGTGGACCAATTTTCAATTTTTTGTAGCGTAATCCCAGTGTTGGTGATAAGTTTGCAAGCAGAGCGGGACAAAAGGGTATTTGCTCGCAAAAGTGGCCTGCCGAAGATCTGCCGTTCACGGAAACTGGTAAGAAACTCTAGCAACCATCCTGGGTATACTCGCGTCTATATAGACTGAAATATCACTTTGCAAGTTTTTGAGCAAATAAATGCAAAACTCCCATGCAAATTTGAAAGGCAATTGAAACTTTTGTCTCTAATAAGGCACACTTTGCCCTACAAAATACATGCAAAAGCCAACAGCTCGTTTGATTAGTTCCTGAATGAATAAATGCCAAAATCTGGTCTGGGGAAACAACCTCGAAATCCAAGCGCAAAGTTGAAAAATTGTGGCAAATTGCTTGATGAGAGATAATCGAAGCTTTGTTTACTTAAGAAGAGACTTTTCCTTACAAAATTCTACAAAAAAATGCTTGACACATCAATTAAAGAGCTTTTTGTGTGGAAAATGCGTGCTGAGTTTTGGAAATCGTGTTTCCACTAAGCGATTTCTGGCCAAATTAAGGCACTCAGAGCTACATTCAATTCTCTATCCAACGATGCCAAAACGAATTCTCTGGCTCGAATGGTTCTTCCGAAACTTCGAAAAAAGCAGCGTCATGTTCAAGTGGATTTTGCAACTCAAAAAAAACCACGCAAATCTAAAACTCCTTGAATTGAAGCATTTTTTGAAAAAACTGCCAACATTTTTTTATCCATGGTTCAATTTCTAAAAAGGCCATTTATTTCTCTCTAGAAGGACGTAGAAATAAGCGGTCTTGCTCATTTCGCCTCCGAGATATGAGCAAAAAGGGGACGGAAAACATGAAATTTTGGCATAATCTTGCACCTAAGTGTCTGATATTCAAATTTCGCTT